GTGTCGCCCCCGTGTCCCCCCACTCACCAGCTGTCGGCGTGGGGCAGGCGGAGGCGGGGGCGGCCGAGGGCCAGCGGGCGCCGGTGCATCAGGCGGCCGAGGAGCTCCTGGTCCGAGAGGTGCCGGTAGGGCTGGACCCCCAACTCGAACAGCTCCCACAGCGTCACCCCCAGCGACCTGACGGGGACACCGTGACACCGGCACTGTCACCGCGGACACCGCCACGCCGGGCACCGGCACCTGGCCATGCTGCGGCACAGGGACAGCGGGGACCGTCACGCTGGGTACGGTGGCATCGCAACACCGTGACACCAGGTACCGCAGCATCGCAACACCGTGACACTTGTTACCATCACACCAGCGACCGTCGTGCTGGGTATCACGGTGTCACAACAACATGACATTTGTCACCGTCACACCAGGGACCGTCGTGCTGGGTTTGGCATCGCAACACCGTGACGCTTGTCACCATCACACCAGTGACCATCGTGCTGGGTATTGCGGTGTCACAACAACATGACATTTGTCACCATCACGCCAGGGACCATCACAACACCGTGACACCTGGCACCAGCGTGTTTGGTACCGCAGCATCGCAACAGCGTGACGCTTGTCACCGTCATGCCAGCGACCATCGTGCTGGGTGCCGTGGCATTGCAACACCGTGACACCTGGCACGACCGCGTCAGGTGCTGTGGCACAATGTCATGACAGCAGGGACCATCGCACTGGGTACCGTGCCACCGCAACACCCTCGTGCCAGGGACACCATCGCGCTGGGCACCGTCCCATCCGGCACCACAGCATCGCAACACCAACCCACCTGGGCACCGTGCGGCTGTTGCAGGGTACAACGGGACACCGCGACATCGGGACAGCCTAACGCCATCGCAGGTGGGCACCGTGGCACCCCAACACCCTGTCACCGGGACCTCCCAACACCATCACACCCCAACACCGTGATACCAGGACACCATCACACCTCGACACTGTCACAGCCCAGCACGGTGACACCGGGACCTTCCAACACCGTCATACTCCAACACCACCACACGGGGATCTTCCAACACTGTGACACCCCAACACCCTGACATCCCAATGCTGTTGCACCCCAACACCATGACGAGAGGACACCATCACACCCCAACACCATGACACTGGGACCTTCCAACACCGTCACACCCCAACACCATGAAAACAGGACGCTGTCACACCCCCACACCGTCACATCCCAACACTGTGACACCAGGACACTGTTGCACCCCCAACACCGTGACAGCAGGACGTTGTTACACCCCAACACCATCACACCAGGACACCGTCACCCCCCCCAACACTGTCACGCCGTTGACATCCCAACACCGTGACATCCCAACACCATGACACCCCAACATGGTGACGCCAGCACCCCGTCACCCCACCCCGCCAGGACACCCCAGCACTGGGACAGGGTGACACCGCCACACCGCGCCACTGGGCTGGGGGTGTCCCCGATGTCCCCCAGTGTCCGTGGCGTCACCCGGTGTCCCCCATGTCCCTGGTGTCCCCCATGTCCACGGTGTCCCCGGTGTCTGTGGCGTCACCCGGTGTCCCCCGTGTCCCTTGTGTCCCCCATGTCCACGGTGTCCCCGGTGTCCGTGGTGTCACCCAGTGTCCCCCGTGTCACCCCGTGTCCCCGGTGTCCCCGACTCACCAGACGTTGCTCTCCTTGCTCTGCTCTGCCACCGCGAGTGTCCCCCGGGTCTCGGCCAGCAGCTCGGGGGCCACCCAGCGCAGGGGGACCCACAGCCGCTCGGGGGGCACGTAGTAGTCCTCCTGGGGGGGGGGGGGGGGGGGGGGTGTCCCCATCCTTCATCCTGATGGCCAAATGCAAAGCTAAGTACTTCACACCTTAGTCTGTTTCTAACCCTGTAGTCATCTTTTTACATGTCAAAACAGTCCGGAGAGGAAAATGGATTCCTTTGTCAGTGGAGATTTCACTTGGAGGTTCTTTGGTGTAGAAGTGGACTAATTGGGATGGTGTCATGAGAGGAACACCTGGAGTGCATCCCTGTCCTGACAGTAGGAGACCAGGTCTGTAGAAGTGTGCAGGTAGCTGCCGCTATTAGGCTACCTGTATGAGGAG